TTTGTTCAATCACAACATTGTTCAACAAAACTATAGCCAACAAAGCGTTTTTAATCACGCTATTTCTATTTTGTGAAGTACATCCATTACTGTAAATAATTATTTTCCTGTCATCATCTTGTAGAATGGGACAAACTACTGTATTTACTCTTGCTTCTTTACATACGCCAAGATTTTCTACGGGAGCGTTTATTACTTTGGACTTCATCTTTCTGTCAATGCAAGCGTGTACATTGTCTACTTCCATTTTAGTATGCCCTTTTTCTAAAAATGTTTTTTTTATAAAGTTTTTCCTTTTATCATCTGTTAATTATTTTCTGTCATATCTTGTAGAATGCTCTTTAAATTTTACATAAATTCTCCTTACCAACTTTTTTACTGGAGTGTAATAAGTGCACCTTATTTATTTTTCTTTTAGACTTTGGACAAAATAAAATTTACCCGGCCGTGTTTTTATAAGCAGTGTGTGTAGAAATATTTTCCAGCGCATTTCTTTTATTTATCTCTTGTTACCAGCCAGCAGTTTTCATATTTACCTTTTTTTTTCGTTTTACTCTCTCATCTTCTGTTGAACTCTTTACGCATTAAAGTATGAATTTTAAATAAGTTAAAAGAATAATCAAGGAAGAAGAATCCATTACCCCATTTCGTTACATGAATCTCGTGAGAGGCGACTATCGGAAATACGTGAATAATAATATAGCTTCCAACGGATGACAGTATGACTATTTATATTATATCTATATTTTGTTTACGCCAGACGTAAAATACCCAGCTTGACGACTGGGAAACGTTACAGGCGCGAGATATCTGGTACTGCGGCCATATTGCTAGACTAAAATTATAATACATAATGGTTATTGCAAAAAGTCTTTTAATAGTATAAGTAGTTAGGTTAAGTAGTTCTAATTTAAGGAACAGTTAAGCTGTTGGTGGCCCGTATATTACAATGAAACGATCCACTGAGAAAAATTTAATTTCGACATCAAGTATTGACAGAAGGAAAACTTAAATGTTTAACAGTAGTACACCAAAATACATAAGGCAATCCTGGCAAGGAATCGTTTTTGAAAAAATTTTACGTTTGCATATATTTTTTGTAATAAGAAAATTAAAATTCCGAGACCTTTTTTTCTTTGAATAATTATTATGAAAACAAGCAGGATTGGAATAATATTAAACCTCTTAATGTTAATTTTTGTTTGGATACTGTCATGAGAACGCGAATACATGTTTTGTAGACTCGTATGCGTAAGCTCGATTGCTTGCGACGGCGTCATGTGACGAGTCGTCCACTTCCCTTTAAAGTTTAAAATGGACGAGGAGGGCGATGGCTGCTTTAAGCGTCATACTTACTTACTTACTTACTCGAATTAGCAACACATTTTACCCTTAATTTACATAATATATCGAAAATAGCAGCACAGCTGGTGTACTCTTTTACCATTAGTGAGCAGTATTAGTCCTCATGTATTGCAACGCAACTGCGTTTTGATTCTTTATGTAGGATTGATGCGTGTGTAACGTGTGCTTGTCTGTTATCCTCACTTGCAAAAAAGTTGATGTTCAAAATCTGAAATAGACTGCTGACGAAAAACAGCGTCAAAGGAACGGAATGATTGGCTCTGTAATTGCCATTCGGTCTAATTTACGCGCTTAAATTTCTGAAATAAACTGCTCACAGGCGGATAAACAAACTAACTTTTTTCAATGGTAGAGCCAAGCTGCAGCTAAAGTATGGTTGTAGCGCAAATGGGTCGGCTCGACCGGGGAAGAACCACGCTCTCACAGAATACCAGCGTAAAATAGCAGCTAAATATTGCTGTGTTTCTGGTGAGTGTAGAGATCCGGATACCATTTTTTACGGGAAACAAGGCATTCCATCTAAGTCCTCGGGGGTGAACACGAATTTGCATTTTAATTCTTAATCGAGGATAAATGTAAATGTCTATGGGCCACAGCATCCACTTTCCATCAAGTGACTCGTTTGTCACCCGTATTCTATTTTTAAAAAAAACTTATTATATTGAAGAACTTACAACGTAATACTTTAAATAAGCTTACAATCGTTATTATTTCTCTTCTTATTGATTTGTATAGAAATCAAGGTTTTGTGGATTCGTTCCTTTTTTTAAACAAAAGAATACTATCAAAATATTCTTGACCTACTCATACTTCAACTAAGCCAAAATGCTAGTAGGTTATATGTAATGTATTTGGTTCTTTTTACATATTTTTAATGGTAGTGAAAAACTAACTTACAATCCACCAATCCACCTGCGTTATGGGCTGAAAATCTGTCTAGACTTCAGGCCGCTCGTTGACGAAACCACGACTTTTCGTTATTACTACTAACAGCACTATTAGGCTAGTAATTTGTCTTCCATGGTATGCCACAAAGCACAATCCCAAGCTGCCTACATCTATCGACTCACTGCATCTCTTACCAGGTCGTTACTTCATCTAGTCAGGGACCGCCCTACACTGCGCTTACTGGTATGAAGCTTCAAATTGAAAACATTTCTTCCTCTATGGTTGCCAGCTTTTCGAACTATATGGCCGGCTAATTGTTACTTCAGCTTACTGATCCGTTATTCTATTATAATTATGTCGTATAATGTTAATTTAGTTCTATTAACATTAAAGTTTTATATATATTTTGTAAAATGTGTCATAAGTTGTTAAGAACGTGTCTAGGCATCATTTTAACTAATTAGAGTGCACCAAGATTAAACAATAAAACAATATGGCCGCCAGTGCCGCAGCGTTCTGTGCCAACGAGCTTAACTCCCGGCTTCGTGCGGTGACGATTAGCACTACTTTAGATTTCACATTAAAGTTAAAATAAAAACAAATAAGATTTATTTACTGATTTTATTCATTATTTTAGATTTCATTACATAAATTAGATCCAATAATCAACACTACTTAGTGTATAGTTTGAAAAAGCAAAGTAGCACGGCAGGGCTAGGTGACCATGGGTGCTGCAAAGTACCCGAAACGTTAAAAATTAAAAATTAATAAAATTCAATGTGTTAAAATTCGTAAAAATGGTTCGCGTAAATATAAGAAATCAGGTTTTACAAAAATCTACTTTTTAATAGCACTTATTAATGTTTGCGTTGTAATTATTTTGCATACACAGGTACGCACGATAATTATAACAGGATAAATTAAACCTTTTTTTTATTTGCGTTTCTCTAAATTTGTCAATGACTATTTAAATCTATATATTTAAAATGTGAAGAGAAAACTTTATACCCCTTTTAAAGCATATTACGTGCATGGAGCGTGAGATGAAGTGTGAGATTTTGTATAGTTAAAGTCTATATGGAGAAGGAGTTCAGAAAGTTAAAAATTATATGTAATACACGTGTTACACAAACATTAAATATAATGAAATTAAACATTCATTTTTATGTTTATACTGCCAATTTCATTTATCAAAACACATAAATAGTTTATAACTCTATACACACACCTAATAGTACAGTACACAAAATAGTATATGATCTTCGTTAGGTTTTATTATGATCGCCAAAAAATTGTTACTGAAAGACTGACTGAATGAATGAGCTTTTTAATTTTATGTGGTTTCTGATGTTCCTTCTTCGATAGTTTGTGGAAGGTATATCAAGCCAAAAAAGTTTATTTTAGTTTTTGTATAGTAGATATCGTCACCTAAATATGCAAAACTGAAAACTTCATTTTGGCTAAGTTTACAGGAGTGCAAAAAACAGTTTTTAAACATTAAATTATATGATAGGGTACGCTTAAATGTTTATTATTTAACGTAGCGATATTTTATACAATTAAATCTTCCATATAAAAGTCACTTTTTCTATAGATGGAGTTACGAAGTTAGCATTTTGAAGGAAAAAAATGTCCAAGGACAGGACTAAGGATACGACGAGGATAAGTTCATAAAAATTCTGTGATTATTACAAGACGCAATTGTACAAAAACGATACGTATACCACAACGGCAGTGCCAGAATATTGAGTTGGTCAGAAAATCTTATAAAATTGTGGTATGAATCCCATTTTCTTAGAATTTTTGTACTACCTACAGTTATATACAACTGTAATAACAAATATTTTATTTCTTTACTTTCTACGTTTAATTTTAACGCAAATTAAAGTTAAAATAATCAGTTTTAAACCCACGAACATTATAAAGGAGACGAAAAAAAATAAAGATATAACAAATGTATTAACATTATTAAACCTCTGAGTATCAATGTCAAAACAGTTAACTTAAAGTATTATTATCATTTTTACCTAAGTAACTAATTTATTTAAATAAAATTAAAAACAATAAATCAGTCATCATGAGGAATGTTATCGTAGTAACTATGGTAATCTTTTTGAAAAAGAACATTTCGGGCTTTGTAAGTCATCATACCTTCTTTTTGTTATTTTTAGCCTTTCATTGTAGAGTTTTGGCAAGACACTCAATTCTTTTGGGACCACAGCAGGGTTGTTACGTTGTGGTAAAGTTTACCAAGGCTCGGAAAATTTTAGTTTGTATAATATCTCCCCATCCGGAGCATATTTTAGTGCTTTTACATCTGTCACTACTGGATCTCCGGGTTTTCTCCCAGGACGAATGGATTTGAAAAAAAGCCAAATCACTGTATGAGTTATAGTATTCGTGACTCAAATAATGCACGTGATATGGATTTGGATTCACTCTTGCTTCTTTACATACGCCAAGATTTTCTACGGGAGCGTTTATTACTTTGGACTTCATCTTTCTGTCAATGCAAGCGTGTACATTGTCTACTTCCATTTGAGTATGCCCTTTTTCTAAAAATGTTTGTTCAATCACAACATTGTTCAACAAAACTATAGCCAACAAAGCGTTTTTAATCACGCTATTTCTATTTTGTGAAGTACATCCATCACTGTAAATAATTATTTTCCTGTCATCATCTTGTAGAATGGGACAAACTACTGTACTTAAAAGCTTTGCGACAATTGATGCGAACTCCTCAGCATTCACACCACCTTATGTCTCATTTCATAGCAAACAGTAAGTCTCTTTGGTTTAAATTGTACAATTGTCCTCAATTTCATTTTGTAGTAAAGACTGGATACATTAGACTTGGGACAAAGTAAAACCGCTTGAAGGTCCATTGCAAATACATGCTTCTCAGTCTCTTTATCCTTGACCTTTTCATCTCTCGCCTCATCTTTTTTTGCAACATGTTGATCATAATCACTCTGTCGTAAGTTTCCAGATTTATAAGCAGTGCACAACTCGCATTCATCTTTTTTTGGTTTAAATATAGAAATATTTTTCCAGCGCATTTCTTTTATTTATCTCTTGTTACCAGCCAGCAGTTTTCATATTTACCTTTTTTTTCGTTTTACTCTCTTATCTTCTGTTGAATTGTCGGAGCTGTCATCGGTAGAATATTTCTGTTTATACTGTCATCGCTAATAAGATAGTCCGTGGAATGAACTGCAATCGAAGTAACTGTGTTGTTCGTTGAAGGCATGTTTGATTCGTTTTCATTCACATTTGTGTAAGCTACATCTTCGTTTTATTCGTAGTTTTCAGTTTCAGGGTATTTTCAGTAATAAACTTAAAAATATTATTATCTTGTGTTGTCATTACATTTAAAGGTTCATTACTCGTGCTGGCTCTTAAAATATCCGATGAATTTGCTGCAATCATATCGGCCTGTTTCACGGCTTTCTTTGTAATCCTGTTTTAAAGAATAACAATTTTTTGAGGTGGTCGTTCAGCGTTCCCAAGTTTGTGACTTCTACATAACTGGTTAAGTGATACGCCTTGCAAGGATAATTCAATCATTTTTAAGCTTTGTTTGCTCTGTAAAAACATTCATTCATATTAACCTTCGGTAGGAAACACTTTTTTTGCATACACAAATGGCAACAAGGGTGACTTATCACCCCGTATTTTTGAAATACAAATTAAACTGCAATGTTTGAGTGAATCAAAGTTATTTATTATGACATCAATTGCTAATATAATTAGGAATATGAAAATAGTGTTTATTATAGCACCGATAATTTGACTTTATTTATTTTTTGCATTAAATGCAGATCAAGCAAATATCTTCGCGATGTTCAGAGCAAGCGGGCTGATGGTATTTTTTGCCAAAAGTTTTTAATTTTTTGTCTAGTTTTTTGGACACCGTGTACATCTTGATTGTTTCTGCGATATTGCACGGGGCTTACCTCTAGGAGGGCCCTGGGTTATATTTCGAATATCACATAAAGTGACTCCTTATTCTCGCGGCAAATTTTTACCTACTCAAACGATCCCTCATGTGCGGTTTCGCTAATTATAAACCTAATTTATTTAAACAACTGCTTTGGAACATGTTTGCAGGAGTATTCTAATGTTTAGCATCAATATAAAGCAACATAAAATTGACGCTAGCCTGATCCAGCATACCATAGATTTATCGTAGCGGCCTACAAACTTGCAAATAGTTTCGATACTGTTTATCTGAAATCGAAGCCATTTTCACCTCAGAAACCAAACATTTATATCAGTATCACCAAAAAATTAAACTTACGTAAGAAGCAACAGGGGTGACGAGTCACCCCAATAATGTCAATATAACAAAAATAACAACTTACTGTGACTTGTTGACGTATGTAACCGATTGCATTCACTCCAATCGGAGAATAGATCGAGCATTAGAAAGAAACAAAAACAACACTAAAACTTTTTTCGAGTAGTGGGGTGACGCGTCACCCCTGTTGCCTTCCTAAGGTTAAGATCCTCCTCCCTTTTACAGTCGGTAAAAAAAAACATACTTCATCTGAGACAAAAACAATAACATTTAAATTGAATAACATTTAAAAGAAAAGGTGAATAAAATCAGAAAAACATTGAAAGAAAATCTTGTTACTCCAAAAGTAATTTAACATTAAGATTTTGTATCAATGCATTAATAAATAATTTTAATCTTTTAAAAAACACTGCACAATAATATCATTATGTAATTAACACTTACCATTTCAGCTAACAGTTGTTTGTAACAAAAAAAATAATAAAACGATTCACCGAACCACGTGCGCAACCTCACGACATCAGTCCGCCATATTGAACGGCACAAACAACGGAGTTACGAGGTTTACTTTAAAAAAAAATGTGAGGGTGCACTTACGGGGTTTGCTTGACACAAATTGTCTATGGTTTTATTAGACTTACAGGTACGAGACTTGAAACGAAAAATTCTTTATTTTGTAATGCAGCCAATGGCATCAAAATGTCGTTTCCGCCTGTATGTGGAGTTACGAGGTATGCGTATTAAGGTATTTAATTTATTAAAATACAGATAATACTTATATACACTGAGAGTTGAAAGTAAATTTTAAATTTCTTAATATACAAACCTAGTAATTTAATGAATTTCAACCAATGAACTAACTCTTTATAAAAACACACTCACACACTATATAAAATTTTAGTTAAGGAATAATATTATCATCATTATTATGGTGCCTGTTATGGAATGCCAACTTCATGAGATTGAAAAACTTCGTTAGACGATTTCGAGAGATTTGTCGCTGTGTATTCCTACAACAAGTATTGCAATGATTCCAAACTTTGTTACTTTCTAAAGATAATATTCGGCTTTCAGACTGCTTTTCGCGACTTTCACGATAAAGTCTTCATTAATAACTGTTTGTCAAGGCCCAGCTCCACATAATATTAAATAAAAGCGCAAAATGTTTTTGTGATAAAGTTTTGAATATTAAATATATTTTTTGTGCGTGGGCAATAACTGTTTATAGCTCAGATGGTTAACGCTCGCTGTAAATATAACAGAGAACGCGAGTAACCTGGGTTCGATCCCCGCCGGCATCAATGAAATTGTTAATTGCAATTTTAAGTGCTGATATACCACGTTCTCGGCGGTGAAGTAAAACATCGTGAGGAAACCTGCATGTCTGGAGAATAAGAAAAAATAATATTTCGAAGACATGTGAAGTTCGCCAACACGCATTGGGGCAGCGCGGCGGACACTTCCTTGCCCTAAAACCCTCTCAGAAATGAGGGGAGTTCTGTGCCCAGCAGTGGGACTGTTGACCTGTTTATAGTGGGTATGCCTACTAAACCAACATATTGAACGGGGTATCTTATGATATTATCTTTTCTTTAAATAATTTAAATATACTATAAATCCATAAACGCAATTAAGCTTTAACTTAGTTGAAAAGTAACCTCCTTATCTTTTAAACCACTTTTTATATTTGTCTTTCTATTACACCTCTGACACTGGTCAGAGACATAGCGAAACATTTTAGGAATATCTTTTTTTTATTCCAGTTTTTTTCTGTTAGACGGGCTCAGTGATACATTCGCATCACCGTTGACCCTAATAAAATACTTCAAATTGACGCATTGTAAAACAAACGTTCTATTTTTCTTTTTTTATTGTAAAAATATATAGTTTAACAACATTTCACAAAGTATACTGAATATTTTTTTTTTTTTTTTTATAGAAGAGGGGGGCAAACGAGCATGTGGCTCACCTGATGTTAAGTGACTACCGCCGCCCATGATCAACTGCAACACCAGGGGAATTGCAGACGCGTTGCCGGCCCTTTAGAAAGGAGTAAGCTCTTTTCTTGAAGGTCCCCAGGTCGTATCGGTCCGGAAAAATCGCTGGTGGTAAATTATTCCACAGAGAGGTTGTACGCGGAAGAAAACTCCTTTTGAAACGTACAGTGGTGGACCGCCAAGCATCCAGATGGTGTGGATGGTATCGGGACGTTTGCCGCGTAGTGCGTTCACGAAATTTGGCGGCTGGGATTAATCCGAACAATTCCTCAGAGCACTCTCCATGGTATATGCGAAAGAAAATGCAAAGGGATGCAACATCTCTTCGCAGTGCCAGAGAATCGAGCCAATCGGAAAGCACTCGGTCGTCGACGATTCGAGCCGCTCTGCGCTGGATGTGGTCAAGTGGAAGGAGCTGGTACTGGGGAGCCCCAGCCCAGAGATGGGAACAGTATTCCATATGCGGCCGAACCTGCGCCTTGTAAAGTTGCAGGCGGTGTGCCGGCATGAAATACTGTCCCGCTCTGCTGAGCACGCCAAGCTTTTTAGAGGCCAATTTGGCCTTCCCTTCCAAGTGACCACGAAACTGCACGTCACTCGATATGTCTACGCCGAGGATTCCGATACTGGCTGAGGCAACAAGGGGAGTGCCTTGAAACTGAGGGGATACGACAAAGGGGTACTTTTTAGCGGTTAACGCGCAAACTTGTGTCTTCTGGGGGTTAAACTGGACTAGATTTAGTCGCCCCCAATCCGAGACTCTGTCCAGCAGAGACTCGACTTCAGACACAAGTTTGTCCCGGCACTCGGAGACGTTTTCCCGAGAAATATTGGCTCGGCCGGTGTAAAGAGCATCACCAGTGCTGTCATCTGCATAGCAATGAATGTTACGGGTCTGCAACATATCATTGATATGCAGAAGAAACAGCGTTGGCGATAGCACGCAGCCCTGTGGAACACCAGCATTAATAGGCATGCAATCGGAGCTTGCACCGTCTACAACGACCTTGATGCTCCGATCTGCAAGAAAAACTGGTGATCCAATCGCACAATTTCTCGGGAAGCCCATAGGAAGGGAGCTTCGAAAGAAGCGCTTTGTGCCAAACCCGATCGAAGGCCTTCGCAATGTCCAAACTAACGGCCAATGCCTCCCCCTTGGACTCTACTGCCTCCGCCCATCTGTGAGTTAGGTAGACCAGAAGATCACCAGCTGACCTACCACGGCGAAAACCGTATTGGCGGTCACTAATCAGCTGGTGATCCTCAAGGTACCTCATGAGCTGGCAGTTTACAATGGACTCCATTGTTTTGGAGAACAAGGAGGTGATGGCGATAGGCCGGTAGTTGGACGGGTCTGAGCGGTCGCCTTTTTAGGGATCGGGTGGACGAAAGCCGTCTTCCATGATTTTGGGACTACGCCTAGGGAGTAGGAGTACCGGAAAAAACGCGTTAAAACCGGTGCCAACTCTGGAGCACACGTCCTCAGCACAATTGGGGGGATTCCGTCAGGCCCACTCGACTTGTGGATGTCCAGGGAGAGGAGTGCTTTGCGAACCGAGCGCTGAGTGAACTGCACTTCCGGCATGGAGCACTCACACCGCGGGATGGTCGGCGGCGTACTCCCCCGTCATCGAGAGTCGAGTTAGACGCAAAGAAAGAGCCTAGAAGATCGGCTTTCTCCTTTGCGGTGTGGGCCAGTGAGTCGTCCTCCCTGTGCAGAGATGGAAGAGATGGCTGACAGAAATTCCCCTGGACAGCCTTG